AAATGAATTCAGCAAAGTGGCAGGATATAAAATCAACACCCATAAATCAAAGGCATTTCTGTATATCAGGGACAAATCCTTGAGAGGGAAATGAGGAAAACTACCCCATTCACAATATCCTAAAAAAATAAAATAAAATACTTGGTAATCAACAAAAGAGGTGAAAGATCTATACAATGAAAACTACAGAACCCTAAAGAGAGAAATAGAAGATCTTAGAAGATGGAAAGATCTACCTTGCTCATGGATAGGCAGAATTAATATTGTCAAAATGACCATACTACCAAAAGCACTTTACAGGTTTAATGCGATTCCAATCAAAATCCCAATGGCATTCTCCATAGAAATAGAAAAAGCAGTCATGAAATTCATCTGGAAAAATAAGAGACCTAGAATAGCTAAAGCAATCCTTAGCAGGAAGAGTGAAGCAGGTGGCATCACTATACCAGACCTTAAACTATACTACAGAGCAATAGTAACAAACACAGCATGGCATTGGCACCAAACAGACTGGTAGACCAATGGTACAGAATAGAGGACACAGAGACTAACCCACAAAATTACAACTACCTTATATTAGACAAAGGTACCAAAAGCATGCACTGGAGAAAGGATAGCATCTTCAACAAATGGTGCTGGGAAAACTGGAAATCCATATGCAACAAAATGAAATTGAATCCCTATCTCTCACCATGACAAAAGTTAACTCAAAATGGATCAAGGACCTAGGAATCAGACCAGAGACTCTGCGTCTAATAGAAGATAAAGTTAGCCCTAATCTTCATCATGTGGGATTAGGCCCCAACTTCCTTAATAAGACTCCTATAGAACAAGAATTAAAACCAAGAATCAGCAAATGGGATGGAATCAAACTAAAAAGTTTCTTCTCAGCAAGAGAAATAATATGTGAGGTGAACAGAGAGCCTACATTCTGGGAACAAATTTTTACCCCTCACACATCAGATAGAGCTCTAATCTCTAGGATATATAAAGAGTTCAACAAGATAAGCACCAAAAAAATAATAAATCAATCAATAAATGGGTCAAGGAACTGAGCAGACACTTCTCAGAAGAAGATATACAATCAATCAACAAATATAGGAAAAAAATGCTCATCATCTCTAGCAGTCAGAGAAATGCAAATCAAAACAACTCTAAGATATCATCTCACTCCAGTCAGAATGGCAGCTATTATGAAGACAAACAACAATAAGTGTTGGCAAGGATGTGGGGAAAAAGATGAACTCATACATTGCTGGTAGGACTGCAAATAGGTGCAGCCAATATGGAAAGCAGTATGGAGATTCCTTAGAAATCGGGGAATAGAACCACCATTTGACCCAGCTATTCTTCTTCTCAGACTATACTGAAAGGACTTAAAAACAGCATACTACAGGGATACAGCCACATCAATGTTTATAGCAGCATAATTCACAATAGCTAGACTGTGGAGCCAACCTAGATGCCCTTCACTGGATGAATGGATAAAAAAAAAGTGGCATTTATACACAATGGAATATTACTCAGCACTAAAAAATATCATGGCATTTGCAGGGAAATGGGTGGCATTAGAGCAGATTATGCTAAGTTAGCCAATCCCAAAAAAAAAACAAATGCCGAATGTCTTCTCTGATATAAGGGGGGTGATTCAAATGGGGGTAAGGAGAAAGAGCATGAGGAAACTGTGCGACAACCCTCTCAAAGCACAAGGAGCACAAGGGCACCACTGTGGGGGGTTCACAGACTCGGAACACGCAGAACAGAAGTGCAGGTGAGCTCTCGGCAGAACCTTGGAGAGAAGGTCTCCCACCCTCCGTCAAGACTTCCAGAAGGTCCTTCCAGGTGAGTGGTGCCTACAGCAGCCCAAGCCGTCTCTGGGCACTGCTGATAAACTAGGTCAACCTTACTTTTTGAGTTTTAGAGGGAGACAGTGCCTTTGTTTTATTTCTACGTGGTGCTGAGGATGGTGCTGAGTAATATTCCACACTGCTAGGCCAGCGCTCCCCTGAGCAGCACCGCCAGCCCCTAAGTGAACCTTGAGCACATAGGGCCCGACTCCTGCAGCACTGACGTCTGTACAGGACGACGCAGGGGTCCGTAGGCACGGGGGGCCGTGAACAAGGAGGTCTCACAGCGCCCCACTTGGGCTGAAAGGCTGAGGAGAGATGAGTCCCGTGGCTGTTTTTAAGGGGCATGAAGATTCGACCTAGGCCATCCCTGGGTCAAAGGAGCTGTCCTCGTAAGAGTGCGTTGGTGGCCAGGTGTCCTCTCACGCCTGCTGGCTTCCAGGTGCACTTCCTCCCTCGGCCCCGGACGAGCCTGACTGCACATCAGGGGTGGCCGCTCCAGCCTCCGCGGGCTCTGCTCCTGCCCTGGCTCCTCCCTTCTGCTCCCCCTCCGTCCCCTGTCGGCTCCCTCCCGGGGTTGTGCGTGTCTAGGACGGTGCTGACACAGGGCTCCTGGGCACCCCACGTGCCTCACTCACCACCTCGGGGCTCCCCTGGACACCCAGAGCTCCTGCCGGCACCACAGGCCACTGAATGGCCACACCCAGAATCTGGCCCCGAGAGCTGGTGGGGGGAATGCTGCCCAGAGACTGCCCTCCACAGACCTTGCACACCAGGCTCCAGGGCAGCTCCTAGTCTCTGCCACCCGTGGGAGCAGCAGCCGGGCACGTGCGGCCTGGGACACCACCATCTGCTTTGTCTGAGAGCCGCAGGCCACACAGCCCGACCCTCCCAGCAGGTCTGACTCCTTCCTTATCAACATGCCCTTCCCTGAATCACTGGGGTCGTCCATGTCTTTGCTTCTCTTGAAACAAACGGCTGGTCAATACTAGGAGTGGTGGCCAGCCAGAGCCCAGGGTGTCACCTCTGTGTTGGGACTCCCAAGCAGTGTCCATGTCTAACCAAGAGCACGTAGAGGAGTCGTCCAGGGCCTTCTGGGGGACCCCCAGCAGGCCCCCGCAGGCAGTCTGCAGGTGCATCCTGGACCTCAGGAAACAGCACGAGGCCCTTTGTCCTGGGGAGTCACTGCCTCTGCAGACAGAGCCACCTCCTGCTTTTCCCCCAACCCGAGGAGGAGAGGCTTTCCAGATCCCTGAGCCTGGAACCTTCTGACCCATGCATGTCACTCTCTGCCAATGCACCGTCCTGGTGACAGTTTTCTTCTATTATGTGAAGAAAGAAAAATGTCAAACTTCCTTGCTCCGAGGGGCAGCTCCAGGTCCTCCTGTGCACCTCGCTGAGGCAGAGCTTAGGTAAAAACACCAGCTCTGGCAGTTCTTCCAAGGTTGTGAAGACAGCCGCGAGACCCAGCTCCCTCTCAAGCCAGCCCACGGTGTTCTACTCTTGCATCAGTGAGAATGAAAAGCCGATAGAAACCTGTGAGCACACTTCCTTCCATTCAGTTCCAGGAAAAAAACAAATAAAAGCAACTCGTTTGTCTGAGCTAAATGAGCATATGAAATCACTTCTACTACCTGCACGTGGCCATTAGAGCACAAGGGTCACAAAGTAGGCAAAATACTCTATAGCTACTCAAGTAGAGAGAGGGAAGGCACAAACTTTGTGATCCTAGTTACTGGAAATACCCTAGTATCTGGAAATACCACTAAAGTTTCCCACACCAAAGGTCTAAAACAGGGTATGGGGCGAATATGAAATACTCTGCTCTTCAATTCTTGGGAGTTTTCTGAATCCGGATGATCGCAATGTGTACATAGATCATTTCCTCAGAAGAAGTGCTACCATACAGGAATGTGCAACGGAGGGAAGTGGGGCATTTTCTAGTTCTTAAATTTTAAAGGATATTACTGTGAAATGAACGCTACAAAGAATACCCAGTACCTTTGTATCAGGTTTGAAATTAATCTGTAAGTTGTTAGCCATTGATTTTCTTGCCGTGAGATATGAGCATAGTATGATTCCTTTTTTATCAAAAGCATGCCCAGCTGTATATTGAGCCGAGTATCTTGTGTGCACTCATGTGGGAGAGTAAGGCAGAGGAACATGCATGACAGGGGATTAGTTCAGTTCCAGCTCAGATGTACTGGATAAGGGCAGACAGAGATTTGCAAAGGAAAGGGGAGGTGAGAGAAAGAAAGAAGATTAAAAGGCAGAAGGATTAACATCCATGGATTTAGAAAATTATATATGGACATAGGGAAATTATATAGTAGCAATGACATTAGATTTAGCTCACTTATTTTTAGGTAAATTGAACAACCATGAGATTCCTACAATATAAACGTGTGGCTCCTTCAGGCCCATGGTCACTCACTCCTGTCCCCCGTGGGCCGGGAGCGTGGAGCCCATCCAGAGACCCCCTGCTTATTGGGTTTTATATTCATTGCTGTTGAAATTGTGTCCTCAGGGAACACCCGCCTTTCAACTAGATTCCAGAGGATGTTTATGTAAATGTGACCCCAAAATAATATAATGAGTGGATCTCATAATTTTAGAAGCTAAAATCAAGAGCAGATTTTTGACTAGAGGAAACAGAGTGGAAGGAAGCCTTTCTGCCTGGAAGTCCTGCTAGCACTGCAGAAACACTCGGCCACCGGCCGGCAGGTGGCAGGGCCAGGCGGGACTCCCTCCTGCCCCTTTGTCACAGGCTCGGTACCCAGGGAGATGCTTCAGCAGGTCCGAACAGAGGCACACGTGCCACACAGGCCCTAGAAACAGGGGCCCTGTCCACTCGGGGCCTGGGTGGGCAGTTTTATTGTCATGTCCTAGAATGCTTCAGGCCAAAGGGACCTTCCTAATGATCAAAGCGTACCACTGCCCTCTGCAGTGAGGTGACAACACACTGAAGTACTTTATCACTGTACCTCGGAATGGACAAGCCATAAGTATTTGGGGGAGTGTCAGGAGAAAACCCCCAGGCGCTCCGTAGAGATTGGGGAGGAGGCTTGGCGGAGCCGACAGGGTCACCCCAGCGGATGGTCCTCTGTAGGGTGGAGGACAGAACATGCCCGGGGCCCCAGGAAGGCCACTTACTCTCGTAGTGGATGAGGAAGCCCACGCTGGAGCGGCTGCTGTCGGTGGTGAAGAGCAGGTACAGGAAGCTCCCCGTGCTGACGAGGAACTGGGGGGCCTGGGTGCCGTGGTATTCTCCAATCAGTGGGGAAGAGCTGGTGGGTCCATCCCTGACTTCCAGAGAGTCGTAATTGACTTCCGTCTGGAACCTGTGGACGTGCATCATGTCAGGAAAGACATTCAGGCTCCGGTACTTACAGACCTCTCCTACCACCCTCATCTGCTAATTAAAACCCCTCACATACCAACGTGAATGAAATATTCAAAATCATATGTGTACATGTAAGTATACACACACATATACAAATGTGGAGACACATATCACATAGGAATGAGTGTGTTTTTCTGGAAGAAACAGGACACTCTAACCCCCGCCCCCCCCCCATCTTACATAACACTCTACCTTGTAACATGACAGATAAAAATTAAGGTCCTTATTCAGCTCTGATTCAAAACCCCCGTGAGAGAAATGTCAGGTGAATAGACAGATAATTGTCAATGGTTTTGCATTTTAAAAGTGTTTTTCACGATTCCCTGTCTGACACCATCACGGACACCTTGGAACAGGCACACTCAAGTGAAATGATCTCCTAGAGGAAGAAGGGACTCAAAGTACACAACCACATTAGGTTCCTTTCCTGGACAGAATCCTGTGCTTTTTTAAGTGGCATGAACAGGACGCTGGACTAAGCTGAACTACTTCTCAAACTCAAAAGCTAACTTTAGTGATTTGAAAGAGCTTCCGACAAATGCTTCACTTCCTTGCGCTTCCAGGGAGTCTGGCTGCAGTTCCATTTATATAAAGTCGCAGCCACTTGGGTCCCCTTAGACGTGACGCTGGTGCCATTCCAGGCACGGAGGTAATTTTCTAAATGGCCCGTCTAGTCCTCCAAGAGCTAACCTGCTTTCCAAGTGTCTGGTTCTGCTCTCAGGGAGCAGCTGAGGCGTCATGAGCCTCTGACTCACTCGGTAATGGGAGCCAGAGTCCTCGGAAGCCTGTGCCACTGTTCTCCACTGGGATTGTCGAGGAACAGGAAGCTACCTTCGTGGCGCGGCACACATCAGCCCAAATGGCATGAAGCCAAAGGTTCTGCCCTGTTTATCATGAAGCAGTGCAGACTTCTCTTAGTGAAAATGCACACTGGTCCGTATTCTCCACAGCAAGGTGGAAGCCCTGGAACCTGCCCTTCTACAAGAAGGAACCAGAGGACCCTGCATCACATGGCCAGGCCAGAACAGACTCACAGGCTGGAGCGTTGGGGAGCAGGAGGTGCCAACTTTGTCTTTTAATCTAAAGATTATGATTCCTCAGATGTTTGAGCTCAAATTCCAGGAATCTGGATAAGAGTGGAAGCCATCGCATCTGAGGGGTCCACATGCATGCTGTTATCTCCTCCTGGTCTTCCCAAGAGCCAGGACTGCTGTGTGACTTCAAGAGTCACCTCAGAGCAGAGAACCCTAAGCACTCTCATGGCCCAGCAACCTGACTCACATTGCATGACAAAGTCACCCTCGTGGAACTGCAAAGCACATGGACAAACTCGTCCCCCCAGGGGGACTCCACTGGCCAATGAGCAAGTCCACACGCACTGTGTGGCTCATCCTTAAGGAGCCCGGCAATGCATCTCTGGTGACTGCCACTGATGTTCCAAATATCAGAAATGTGAGGTACTTGCACGGGGAGGGTGGCAAAATACCACACTGAAATAACACAGAGTAGATCCCCCTGGGGAACCCGGAGAGGCATTCTGCTTCAGGCCGCTGGGCCAGAGTGTTGATAGACTGTGCTGAGGAGCGGAAATCACTGTCTTTACTAAATGATTTAGGTATGGCCTTCTGCTTTAGCAACCCCTATTGAAAAGTGTAAGCATTTATAGGTAGCCAAGTTTAATTTACTGAATATATATTGAGATACTGTTTTTCAAATGATTAATGTTATTTGCAGGAATCCACTCTCAAAATATATGAATCAAATTTTCCCCTATTTCTAAGGAAAAATCTACTGAATGTTATCATCCAACCTAATAGTGGAAAAACAACAATTTTGAATAAAAATAATTACTAAAGGTGGCAACTATAACAAATATTTCCTATGTTGATATCAAATTCTTAGAAAATTACTAGGAAAACAAAACAGGAAATAACCTCATGAAGTTGAGATACTAGAATATTCTGGAGGCAAAAACTCTGAATGCAATCTAGTCAATAAGGTCATCATGAGATAAGTGCGATGCCATTCAGAGGTGTGAGCTCAGAACTTTACAACAGTCCTTCCCTGCATTTCAAAGCCTATGGCTTGTTTCAAACCAGTTTAATTTTTAATCATCAGATCAATTTCAATGTTGAGTGACACGGGAAAGCACCTTATCTCACAGAGCCTGAATGGCATGCTTACTTTTGCAGATTATTAAATCTATACTCAAGGAGCAAAGCCACACTGTTCTCCAGTGACAGCGACGCCGTGGGCAGCGTGGGCAACTGATGGACATTCTCATCTGCTGCATTTGCCCCAAGGTTCACTCTGGACATTTGACAGTCTCCAGTTATTGACAGCTGACATTAGAACTGGAGAAGGCCTTTTCTGTGCTGCCCCAGAGGGAAGAGAAGGCACCAGAGGGACAGGGGGCTGTGTCCTGTGCCACCAAGAACCTGGCAGAATTACTCCACTACAGGCACCAGCTTCAGGACAGGCTCCAGGGTCAGCTGGGAGGAAGCCACCCAGGATGGACTCCAGGGTCAGCCCCAGTGGGTGGGAACAATCACCCAGGAAGCTTCTGTGTCCACAGCTAACTTGGGTTGGGAGGACGATGCTCGGGAAGGACAGAACTGAAGGGATAGTGCCAAATCCTGTTGGGTCAGCCCCTTTGGAGGACCAAAGAACTGTCACCTTGAAAGTTTTAAGATCCACTAACTTAAAACATGGAACAGATATGGGTCTCCGGACCAGATGAAGGACAAGGCTCATCTTACCTGTCAAAAGTTATTTTGATAGAATGTCCTGGTTTTGCTTCAATGATCCATTCACAATTCAAAGAGTCTTTATAATATCCTGGCCATCCAGGAGGCAAAATGACCCCACTTGAGGCTGTCAGATGTCCACCGCACGGGGCTAAAGGAAGATGCACACCGTCAGGTTCAAGTAAATGTGGGAGGTCATGCCATAGCCACATGGCCATCAAAATAGGGACTGCTTTCCAGGCATAGATTCAGTATTTCCAAGTATTAAGGCAACACCCGTTGCTAAGAAGGCCCTGAGTTGATTGAAGCTGAGGTCTGGGCCTTGCACGGCTGTTATCTGCCCTCAGAACTAGGCAGAGTGCTCCTCCTTGGATGATCTACATGGGAGCGACCTGTCTGGTCGTCAGGAATCTCCTGGCACATGCCACTCATAGCCATCTTACATGCATTAGGAATTCAATAAGCATCTACGGAAGATGAAGTTTTAAATGACCTTAAATCTAATGATGAAAAACCCCAAGACATGTGAGCTATTGTGTTCGTATGTATATACGTTGGGTTGTGTTCGTATTGTTAAAATTACTTGCCACGTAGGATATTAAGTTGTTGGCGCATGTTAAAAACAAAAGTGTGAACTGTAACAAGCACAGGGTTAGGCTGGGCCTATCCTGAAGCAGCAAGTGGCAGACAATGGTCTATAGTTACAAAAGAAAAAGGGAGGGTTAAGAAGTGTGTCCCCGGGCTGTGTGAATCCCCTGTCACCCGCAAGAGTCCTCAGAAAACAGCGACCCCTGGGTTAAAACTGCAGGGAAGAACACACGTCCACCTGGCCACACCGCCTTCCACGTTTTGCATACTCTTTACTGCTCATCTCCCCTGTGAACTCACAGGCAGCAGGTATGTGAAAACGTGTAGTTTAAAACAGACCTATCCTTTTTGGAGTGCGATTCCTTTGGTGGAAAAATGACCACATATATTGAAGTGCTAAGAATGTCTTTCCCTTTCGTCCAGATTTTGATGCCCCAGTGAACTCCGCCAGGATAAACAACGCGCTTTTCAACAAACCTGGCTTTGCTGCAGGGCTGGCATTGCTTACATGAGCTGAGTTATTTCTCTAAGGACCGTTTCCCTGAGGCTCCCAACCGTGTGTGTGTTACCGTCTTCTCTCCTGGTCCCCTCTGCAGAATCTCAGGGTCCATCTATTACTGGTGCCGGCAAAGTCCCCGGGTCTCTGAGTTTATCTATTCTAATGCATTCCTTTCCGTATCTTTCACTCTGGGCACCGAGCTCCATGCTGCAGGCTGTGAGCCCTGTGAGCCCCATGGTGCTGGCTCTGCTGCCCCACTTTGCTGTAGTGGAAGGTTTCTCCCCCAGGATTTCCAGGCAGTGTAGAATCTGGACTCTGAATTTCTATTTAATACACAGCTATGATTTAGAGAGGACTTCTGGATGTTAGGTGTGTGCTTGTGGTTCTGTTTTGATCATAGAACCTCAACTGGAGCATTGTTAGTGATGTGGTCTGCATTTGTTTTAATTTGTGAGGGTTCATTATTGGCCAATCATTTAATTGATTTCTACAAAGGAGGCTGGAGGGGAACGGGAACCCCGAGTGTGCTGTCGGGGACCTGAGGATCGTGCACACCTCTTCAGTCGAGTTGGCGGCTGTTCCTCGCGGCCCTTGCACTCTCTGCACTCGACCTGCTTGCTGTGGAAGCTGATGGCTTCTGAGCAGCAGGCTCTTGGTGGGGACCTGGGTGGCCATGCTACCAGAGCACACCTTCCTGCCTTCCCTGAGACCCTGCTGTGCCCAGGGAGTGGGTCTGGGGGCAGAAACACTTTCAGATCTCCCGCCAGGACTCTTCCTTTCTCTGCTTTCCAACTGAAGCTGGAGTTTTCACTTAGCTTCACCTGGTGGGGCTCCTCCCAGTAATGGAGGAACGCAGAGCCTCTGCTCAGGGTTAATGTGCTACTTCCCCTTATCTCATGTCCTGCTACTCCCTGTGCTTACAGGGCCCTGTCCACCAGTGTGCCGAGAAACAGGCCCCGCCTGCAGCTTGTGACGCCTCTGCCCACAGCCGACTGTGGGTAACCAGCACAGAGACAGCCAGCGTGGTGGACGAGGCAAGAGCCTGTTCTCTGCAAAGTCTTGCTCATGAACTCAGTCATGCCTCACAGCCAGCCGTGGTCTACACAGCTAGAGCAGTGTTCAGACAACATCAGCTGCAGCACCATTCCTGTGACCTGCGTGAACCTGCCACGTGTGCACATCCACTTAATTATAAAGGCTCGAAAACCACCCTCTGTTAACATTTTATAAACATAACATGTAAAATTATATGTTTGAGATGAATTATTAAGATAGATTTAAAATAAAAGTCCCGCTGTTGTATCCTTGCCCTTCACTGTTCCACCAGGGTGGCGCCCAGAGCCCCTGAACTCTTCTAACAGTTGAGGAAAGGAAGGAGGGCATCTTCCCAACTGCTGCAGAGCCACTTGCAGGCCACCACAGGGCCTAGCTGGAGTGTCTCCTGACGGTGGCAAGCCACCCAGCGGGTTGCTCAGGCTGGACAAGGGGTGGCCCTGGCTGGGCTCTGAGAGTTCAGTGTCCCCACAGCTGGACTCGGCTCTGACCCCTTGGAGGTGAGGACTTGGGAAGTTTCCCTAAAGCAGTGCAGGAGGAGAGCCGCTCTGGCTGGCCTATTTATTTCCTAGTTACATATTAAAAAGAAACAGGTTGACCTCAGACAACTGAGGGAATGACCCAAGAGGAAGAAAACCTTTCCAGCCACCATTAACACGTGCGTGCCCAGCAGTCTCCGTCTCCCTCTCCTGAGATGCTGACACGTGTCTGTGTCTTCAAAACCCTGTAAACACGAGTGCTCGTGCCCCTGGTCTTTCCCATGATAGCAACTCAGGATCTCTTTGGCCCGTAACCTTGGTTAATGATGCTCGACCCCTGGTCTAGGTACACGTCTCTATCCACTCGGCGGCTCCCTGCTGTTGGACATTTAGTTGTTTCCAACTTGTCACTGTTTAGAAAAGTTCTGCAAAAAGCACTCATCAGCAAACATTTTATCATACTATTTTATGATACTAATCCTAAAATATAAGCTATGGGCCAAAAGACCAGAAAGATGCCAAGACTCAATATGAATTCACGCCGTGAAGGTGCAGTTTAACCTCCTCAGTGCAGAGCCAAGAAATGCCAGCCTCCCCCACTTACCCACAGTTCACCTCTTTAACTCATTGAAAATCTGGGCAATGCTCGAGAGCAAAGGGGCATGCTACTTTTGTTTTTACTTGTGCATTTCTTAGGGATTCAGCAGAGATAATTTTAAGACAAGGTTCCTAAGCTCATTGTGTAAGACAGGGAGGATGGGTCAGGGGCCTGAGGCAAACGTTTTTAAATGATCAATAATGAAGGGCCATGAGGTCCTGCTCCTTATATTTCTTCCTCTGGTCTTATTACAGGTAAGTAGACCAGAAATATCAAGAAGAAAACTAGGTATTATTCATATGAGCTTTGATGAAGAAAGCAAATCATTAATTAAAACCACAGTGTTGTCATGGGTTGAATTGAGCCCCCAGTTCCTCATCAGTGTCCCACCCTCCCACCACACTCACTGATGGTGTGTGGGCACAGGAGCACGTAGGTGCCATTAGTGAAGGTAGACGAGGTGTCATGGGAGAGAGGACCCTCTCCCAATACAACAGGGGGCACAGACACAGTCAGATGCACACACAGGAGAGCTCCTCTCGAGCATGTGGCCAAGGTCACGTGATGTGCTGAGGCCAAGGAGCACCGGAGCTGGGGCTTCCTGGACACACCCTCCCTCCCACGCTCCAGAGGACGACCGCCCAGCCAGAGCCTGGTTCCAGGAAGTGAGGCTACACTTCCTGTGCTTCGATCCCTCCTGTGGTTCTTTGTTCTGGCATCTAGGAGACTGGAACCCGGCCTGTCTGAAGGGAGAGGCCAGGAGGGCTGAGGGCAGGCCCACCTTCACAGCGAGGGACGGTGGCACTCCAGACCACGTTCCCGTCCTGCAGGACGCAGGTGATGGACTCGGAGCCCTGCGTCTTGACAAAGCCATCGTCACAGTGGAAGGAAACGGAGCTCCCGAGCAGAAACCTGTCGCCAAAACGCCTGCCATTGACAGGGATGCCGGGGTCATGGCACTCATTCTGACCGAAGGCTGACGGAGGAAAGGGAGAAAGAAGCAGAACCAAGTGTCTGAATCCCAGTTACGTGTATTAAGAAACAAGGAAACAGAACCCATTTGTAAGGCAACTGCTTCCCCAGATTTCAGTTATACCACCCATAGATACGGAAATACACTGAATAAGTGGGATATCAGGATCTGTAAGCGAGAGCACGGATGGATGAGTAGACCTGACTATCATCTCTGCAGCACTTGGGTTGGAAGGACACTTCCTGTGCACTTCAAAGAGAGACCAGGGACACGGTGTGTGTGGGGGGGAGAACTGAGGCTCAGGGCACATCTGCTCCAGGTAGGGGTCAGCCCGAGGCCTAGCTTCCGCCCCTCGGCAGATGCCCTGATGCTGTAAGTGAGTGACTCTAACCCTATATCCCAGAGTTACTGTGGAACTACATCATTACCGGGAATTCTACACACCGTACCTAAGAGAAGCAGCCAGAGGCAAATTAGTGTTGCTCATATTTACTGTTTAGTTTTAGTCTTTCTAGAAAGCATTTAAGGAGTCGTCGTTCTTCTATAAGATTTGTTTTGCAGATGAGGGGCCTGAGCCAAAGAGAAATTAGCTATCTTGTCAACATCCACTACATATCTCCAAGGGCCGGTGTGCTGACCCTGGCTCCTGACCACCAACGCCGTGACCCTGGTTGTCACACTCTGTTGTTACAAGGAGGATGCATGGATGGGTGGAAGGAAGGAAGATGGAGGCTGGGAAAATTGGAAGGAGGGCCAGGATATGAGATCCAGCACCCTGTGATGGGGTGACTCAGAGACTAACCTAAATACCAGAACAGCGTTATGTCATTTTGCTACTCTTAGAGCCTTGATAATGATCACATAGCTTCAGAGGACCTTCAGTGTGTGTGATGAAAATGTGGCCAGGAGCTCACTTACTGGTGTACGTGATGTTGAACCCTCTGCTGGTGGTGGAGTGGTCCGACTGGAATTCCAGGCGCACTATGTGCCCACTGCTGGCCAGCTGAGCGGGCACCTCATTGCCAGAGAAAGTACCAAGGACAGTTATATCAGAAATCCCATCATCTTTGACTGCCAGAAAGTCAAACTGAGGCTCCACGTCAAAGTCATTGAAGATGAGGTGAATTCTGCTTCCCGGCTCGGATATAATCAGCCAAACGCAGTTCATGTTGTTGCCATATTCCTCTGGGTAATTTGGGGAAAGGATGATCCCGGATGATGCCGTGAAGTTGAAGAAACAAGAAACTGTGGAGACAGGAATATATTTTCAAACAGTGTTGCATGACCCAAGAACTGCCCCTTGGCCCACCTTGCAGGTGGCCACAATGGCCGGCTGCCGTAAGACCAGTCACCTGGAACACAGTGTTTCTCTTTCCACCTATCTCGTTACCTTACACAGCACAGCCAGGGACTCTGCCTAATTCTGCAGAGGCTTTAAAATAAACATGATCCCACTGAGTTGGTTAAAAATGTGTGCTAGATATTGTAATTTCTAGTTCAGACTTTCTGCCTCCAGAGGAACAGCATTAGTCGTTGGTGCCAGAGGAGCAATTGGGTCTGCTCTTCTGTGATAACTTTTTAGTTATTTATTTTCTTTTAAGGTGCATTTTTTTCCAGTTGTTTATCTAATTTTCTTGTTGGTTGTAGGCAAAGATTAACAATAAGTAATGAGAAAATCGAATTGTGCTGTCGTTGGGCAACATGGAACTCCTCTGGATACTTGAACGTGTGCTTCATACAAATCGTGAGCACCTGTTTCTGTTTGGGTGGCAGCAGCTGCCGTAAGGCCTTGCTTTTCTCCACATGACTCCACACCCACTTCCACCATTGCCATTTTCACTGTCAATTAAGCCTTCTAAGTGGCCGTGAGGCCTCTGCTGCAGCTTCGACGCTGCGCACACGGGAAGAGGGCGGTTGTCCGCTGAGGTCCAAACCTCCTGTAGCACCATGCTCCCAACAGCCACCCACTAGTGCCCAAGGCTGCACAACATACTACTGTGGTTTGGGTCTGAAATGTCCCAACAGGCTCAGGTGCTGAAGGTGTGGTCCCCAGCTGGCGGCACAGTGGAGGTGATGGACACTCTGGGAGGTGGGACCTCCTTTTGGAGGAGGTGGGTCTGGACATGACATGGAGGATTTATTTTGTCCCTGGGTCCCTCCTCTCTTCTCTCTCTCTGCCTCCTGGCTGTCATGAGGTGGATACCCTTCACCACCACCGCCTCCCACCACCACAATGTCAAACCTTGCCTCCACAGTAATGAAGCCAGCTAACCTTGGACTAAAACCTCTGAAACTGTCTTTCCTCCCTAAGTTGATTGTCTCAGGTGTTTTGTCACAGCCATGAAAAGTTGGCTACCACAATCATTGGATCATAGAGTCTCCATTGCTGCAACTCGGTCTGACTCAGCACCTAGCGGGGGCTCTCGAGGGCGACAGTGGTATGTTCGATCCCTTGGGGTAGAAAGTGCTCAGCTGCACTTCTTCTGGCAGCAGACCTGGTTTTAACAGGGACAGCGGAAAGCTGGTGTCTGGGAACGCCCCTTGGGCAGCTGCCTCCCCAGGGTCTCTCCTCCCGTGCTCTGCCCTGGGCCCTTGCAGGACAGGAACTCACACACGCAGCTGGGCTTGTTGCCTGACCACTGGTTGTTCTGCTGGCAGGTGATGACCCTCTCGCCCACCAGCTCGAAGGCCGCCTGGCATTCAAAGGTGAGCGTGTCTCCGTGCAGAAAGCTGCTGCCCACCCGCTTCCCGTAGGCGGGGATGCCAGGGTCGCCACAGCCGCCCTTTTCAATTTCTGAAAGTGGGAGAAACAAACAGACCATTAACATTATACAACAAACACTGTTAACTCCCAAGTTCAGCCTTCTTTTTGCTCATCTAAACTTCATTTTCATAAATGATTCCGGAAAGATACGCAATTCATCCAACAATCGCAGAACATGAAGAAGTTGCGAGTTGCCTGGGAGAGGAAGGTAGGAAAGTGACTGTCCTATAAGACACCCAGGCCACACAGATGTGCTGACATTAATAGGTGCGTCTTGGGGGCACCTCCAGCCTCCGTCTGCAATCTGTGCACTAGAACGTGACCGCTCATGTGGGCCTCATCCGCAGGCTTTTCACTATTAACACTGCAAACACGAGTGCTCTTTCCTTCCCGAATATTCAGATCAATGTGATCTATTTGACACTGTTTTCCTGAAACGGACGTCAGAATTCATTTGTGAAGCAGGAAGAATATATCTATGGTCTTCAGATAACAAAGTGCACAGAATGAAACCGCTTTTCATCAACACACAGCTGCCATGGAACATGGACCACATTTCACACCCTGGCCAAGACCTCGGACATGCTGGCCAAGATGTGCGCCTTACTCAATCCCTCCACAGTGCTTTTGAAAGCCAGCTGCATGTTAGGTCCTCTGCTAGGTGACGGGGTGGTGGGTGAGCAGGATGGCCCTTGCTCTCACAAGGGACATCAAGAATTAAACAGAGCATGCGGTGCTGACCAGGTTCCCTCCTGAAGGAGCCCAGAGGGCTGGGCAGGGAGAGGCAAGGCCCCCTGGAGGGGCTGCCTGGGCTGCTCCCTGCCTATGCTAAGTGATGTGGGCCAGGGTGGCAGGTAGGCCACCCCGTGGGGAGGTTAGAGCAGAGGCAGGACAGGACTGAGTCCCCCCCAGAGCCAGCATGTCCCCAGGAGAGCCATACTCCAGGAGAACGCCATCAGGGTCTCTGTTTTAATGCTTTTTTAGGTGTTTAGATCTATTTACTTATTTATCCATCACCTCATTCATTCATTCATATGAGCATTTGTTTGATTATCTATTGATTTTTCTCAGATTCAGCAAATTCAAATTTCTGTTTTATTAGCAATGGCCACGGTTTGTCCTTGGAGACACAGGATGAACTGAGACCCACAACGTAATGGTGTTGAGAGGTGATGGGACACTTAAGAGCTGGAGAGGGAGTTGCGTGGGACTGGTGTGGTCATGGCCAGACTGGACCAGAGACCCTGTGAGTGGCTGTCTGTGTCAAGGCCTCCCTCGGTGGTGTCACATATGACGCGCCCACCGGCCCCTCCCTTCTGCTGGGTCACACTGCTGCCGTGGCTGTCTCCCCCAAACCTCGGGCCTTTTTATTGTTGTTGTTTTTTATCTCTGATGCCCAGCCCACAATTTCTTCTTCTTCTTCTTTTGGTACCAGGCACTGAACTCGTGGTCACTCGACCACTGAGCCCCATCCCCAGCCCTGTTTCATATTTTATTTAGAGACAGGGTCTCACTGAGTTGCTTAGTGCCTCACTGTTGCTGAGGCTGACTTGGATCTTCCTTTCTCAGCCTCCCAAGCCGCTGGGATTACAGGCATGTGCCACTGCGCCCAGCCACAACTTCTAATAATGAAATAAACTGTGGCAGTTTTTGCTGACAACATTTACTCTCTTAAGTCCAGGAACTCCAAAGAGCTTTCAGAAATAACAGGCTGTGTTTGACAACCATGCGGCTGCAGGGGAGGGTCTCTCTGCGTCTCCTGCTGATCTTGCATTTAGCTACTTGCCACCAAAGGTGCCAAGCTCCTCACCCTGAAGCTGGCACAGACCCGCATCTGCCAGCACACCCAGGCCAGCCACTGCCACATGGTACGGGGTGAGGTTCCACGTAGCTTTTGCCTTCAGTCACACATGAGTGAGAGGATCCCATGTCTGTGCCCGTGAGGCTTCATTTGGGAGGGGTTGTTGGGACAGCTTTCATTTTTTACCTCCTTATACACAAAATGCTACTATTGTCCCAAACAATGATGACAAAATTTCCCCTGAGGGTGGTATTGCCCTCAGGTTAGAATCCCTGCCACCACTTCAGGTTTTTTTTTTGTTTGTTTGTTTTTTTTGTACTAGGGATTAAATCCATGGTGCTCTACCATACAGCTACATCTCCAGACCTGTTCTGTTTCATTTTGAGAGAGGGTCTCATATATTGCCCTTGGTGGCCTGGAAATTGGGATCCTTTTGAGTAGCTGGAATTACACGATAAATTTTATGAAACATTTATTTTTGAATATTTTAAAAGTACTTTTATTAGAATGACATGTGCTTTAACATTCACCTCTAATAAATTTTATTTTTATTTGATATTTTATTCTATGCCTGCAAATGCTTATATAATACAGGAATAAATTCCCTATTCTCTTCCTGTTTCTGAGCATCTTGTTACACTGGCACAGTTTAGGACACACGTAGATGGTGGCTTGAAGTCGAGTTTGCAAGGGCAATTCCTGTACCCTCACGTGGTCTTTCTGGAGGGAATCAATGTTCCCAGAATGGAACAGGTCACTTGGAATGAGTGCTAGGAGACACAGAGGGCCCAGGCCACTGGGTCACCACGGGGAATTCATGAGGCACAGCTCTGAGAAACGCTGTTAAAATATTAAGATACCTATAAGAAATTGCAGAAGACTTGACAAATCTAGATCCTTGAAACAGAATTCCATTTAAATCAGCCCACACTTTTGACCTGCTCCTGTTGATACCACAAGGCTAAGGAAGAGTCACTCTGAACATCCACATTGCTCCTGTCCAGCCCAGGATGCTTGACCTGCAGGAGCCAGTGCCTTCAGAGACAGCAGTCACACACACACTCAGCAGGGTTCAGCTTCCATGAGCAACCCACCAGGGCAGCCCCCAGAGCAGGCACCCAACCTCAGGGACCAGCCAGGCAATCTGCAGAGGTCAGCGGCTGCTTGGACTCCTGCTCATTAATGAAGTGCTCAGGACTTATTCTTCTTGTTTTCAATTTCTATTTCCATCCCCTTAACCAACACCAGCATCACTGGGCCCCTGAATTCACAGGAAACAATTCAAAAAGAAATGAAAGGCCCTGCTGTCGACTGGCCGGTCAGGGCAGTCAGATAGGTGAGCCAGGCCACGGAGCACTGCAGGCACAGAATGAAACACCTGAGAATTTTCAAGATCCCATGAATTGTGTTTCTTTTTCCTGTTGGCTGAGACAGTGGCAGTGAGAGATCCATGGTGCATTTTAAAACAAGGCGGTGCGCTCATCTCAGCAAGTTCAACAGGCTCCTCCCGCCGGCTCCGCAGGGCCGAGTCAGTGGGCTCCTACCTCGCCCGCACCCCAGGATCACCCAGGCTCCCCCAGCCCATCAGTGGTCAGGGTCTACCTGTGCAGTGCCCCCCAAACCAGCCACCAGGCCACACTTGGAAGAATGTGACTGGGAAGAGGAAGGAGAGGGCTGCCAGCCTAGGGGGACCAACTGGGGAGCCGATGGGGAAGAGGAGTGGAGCAGGTCCATGCTGACCAGGGCAGCCTGAAGGGGCCCTTCCTCCTGGGCCACCAGAGACAGGCACATGAGGCTTTTGTGGCCTCCGTGATGGCAAGGAGAAGAATTTACCCCATTTCCCCAAGAAACCCATCTTCACCCAGACTATTTACACACCGGGGCAGGAATCTTTGTGGAGAGAAACTTCTTAAGAAAGAGAAACAATAACAACAATAAGAACTGAGACTGTTGGCTGACCTCTGGTAGCAAATGTGAAACGCATGATGAGTGCAGTAACAGAGGAGGCCTCAGTGATTTCCAATTACTGTGCCTAATTTGGACTAAAGCAAAGATTTATGTGTAAACGGAGACACCAAAGTGAATTTATTATACATTCCTACTCAAAAATAATCACGTAGGAATGATTAGATTTTTCAAAGTGTGCAATAAATACACCAATAAATTATACTAGTACAAAACAGCTAAGTAATCTCATAAGCTAAGCAATTCCATTTTTTATAGGTCACAGTAAACATGTCACTAAAAATCCTCAATTTTATTTCCTATAGGTATCAGAATTGCATTTGGCTGCTAGTCAAACGGCACAAAGGCCTATGAACAAATAAGAGCGTGGGTTTCCCTTGCAGAACCGGGAGCTGAGGGAGAGCCCAGGACACAGGGGGGCCAGCCAGGAGCCCAGCCGGCTCACTCCCCATCCTGTGGTCCCTGCTGTGCTGGCCAGTGAGGGAGGGCTGCAGTCTCCTGCCACAGAGGACCCACTGGGCTCAGGGTGGGAAGAAGTCCCACAGTCCAGGTCTCTCACAGGCAGGTGAGCAGGTTTTAAATGCATCTTAAATTATTCAATTTCTTGGATATTTATTTTGCTGGAATGCCCTTTTTAGCTGTATTCTTTTGGGATTGTCTTAGGTTGACAGTAAAATGGAGCAGAGAGCAGAGCTCAATTCCCTGACCTGTCAGTGTCTTTGTAACATTGGATGAGCCAGGCACACGGACACACCACGGTCACCCAGAGCCCACAGTTCACGTTAGGTGGCTCCTGGAGGTGGACATTCTGCAAGTTTGGACAGACGTACAATGATTTATATCAACCACGGCAGCATCATGCAGAGGAGCTCTGCGGCCCTCCAAAGCCCCTCTGCTCTGCCTACTCGTCCCTGCCGCCCTCCACCCTGGCACCCGCTCATCTCTGGCTCCACAGCTCCGCCTTTTCCAGAGTGTCCTGGGTGAGTGGCCTTTTGGGATTGGCTTCTTTCATTTGCAATATGCACCTAAGTTTCCTCTGTGTCTTTCGTGGCTGGAGAGAGCATTTTATTTTAGTGCTGACTAAGTCCCACAGTTGGACAGACTAGAGTCGACTTATCCATCGCCTATTGCCTTCACATCTTGGTGGCCTCCAGATTTTGGCAGTTATGAATAAAGCTGCTGTTCCAGTTGACTTTTCCACCACTGCGACCAGGAGATCAGAAAAGAACAATTTTAGAAAAGGAAAAGTTTATTTGGCTTGTGG